ATATGATCTCCATGTATAATACATAAGGGGGGATATGATCTCCATGTATAAATACATAAGGGGGGATATGATCACCATGTATAATACATAAGGGGGATATGATCTCCATGAATAATACATAAGGGGGGCTATGATCTCCATGTATAATACATAAGGGGGGCTATGATCTCCATGTATAATACATAAGGGGGGATATGATCTCCATGTATAATACATAAGGGGGGGATATGATCTCCATGTATAATACATAAGGGGGGATATGATCTCCATGTATAATACATAAGGGGGGGTATGATCTCCATGTATAAATACATCAGTGCTTCATACAGTGAACTCGGTGTAGAGTTATTCACCTTAAGGTCATCACAGAGGACAAGGGGGCACTCTTTATGTCTGGTGAAAAAGAGATTTATTCTCCAAATACAGAACGTTTTCACAGTAAGAGCTGTAACAATGTGGACTAGATTCCCTCAAGAGCTGGTTCTGGCCAACTCAGTGGATTTCTTTAAATAGGCCTGGATTCTTTTCTAAATACACATAATATAACTGGATACTAATTATGTACCGCCCGGTGCACAGAATGGGATTTCCCAGGGCGTGGAGTCTAAGCCCCAGTCTGCTTGTTCACCAGAGCCCCTGATGGTGGGGATGGACTTGGAGCAGAACTGAGACCAGGTCGCGACCCCTGGGTACTCCCAACTGAGGTAGAGAGGACCACCGGAGGTATGTACAGGTGGAGAGCCTGACGTGAAGAGGCTAGCAGGCCCTGGACTGTGGCAACTGGATCCAAGCGGGATGGATGCCAGTGCAGAGTATAGCGGAGTCAGACAGGCCGGGTCAGTAACAACAAGGCAGACGGTACAAGGCAGTAGGCAGAGAATAACCGGGTCACGAGCAAAAGGTTCAGCAACAGGAGGTCAGATAATTCAGGAGCAGGCAAAAGAGTAGTCAGAGACGAGCCAGGGATCAGGGCAGGAGACGGTCAATGGATCAGGGTCAGGCAGGGTAGGCAACTAGCAAGAACTCAGGACACAGAAACGGCAGGAAAGACCATACGGCAATTTGTGAATTGCCAAAGCCTGTTTAAATAGTGTGCCCTGTGCACTCATTGGTGCCAGGCACGCGTCCTTGGGCGCGAGTGCGCATGCACAGCCGCCACGGTCGCCCAGGTCCTAGTGTCTGCATGCTAGTGCGCCTAGACGGACCGCGCATGCGCAGACTCGCACGCCACGGTAACCCTCGGGATTCCTGCCACCAACATTTATAGGTAAAGTTGATTCAGGGAATATTCTATTGCCTTTTGGGGGATCAGGAAGGAATTTTACCCCCTGCAGGAGCAAATTGGATCATGCTTTGCTGGGTTTTTTTGCCTTCCTCTGGATCAACTGTGAGTACAGGATACATATATATATTTATTTTCCCTTTTATGGTTGTGCTTTTTTTTAGCCAGACATCCTACATCCTGTATTCCTAAGTGCTAAATCCACTATAACTACCAGACAGCTGGCTAGAAGGATAGTGGGAAAGCAGATATATTCTACAGCAAGGGACTGGCTCTCTCTCCTGGTGCAGGATTCAGTGCTGAACACAGGGGGACTGATTTTCTCTAGAGTCAGATTCTGGCCTACTGCTGTGGGACTATGCACAGTTCAACCCAATGATGTCTGGATCACATCAGCTTTTCTGCATCGGAACTATCACTGTTTCGTCTGCACACAGACATCTCTGCTCGCCGAGCTGACAGGCTGTCAGGCGGTAACTCTGCACATCCCTGCAAACAGGATGGGCAAAAACTCTTGTTCCTATGAGGCTGTGCTATGCATGGGATTGGTGAGCAGGTGGATGGCCAACCTCTTTCTGTCATCACTCTATAGCAGGGGTGTCACGCTTCTGCCTTTGGGAGTCATGCTTGTAACTGTCAATCTTGCAATGCCTCATGAGACTTGTAGTTTGGCAACAGCTGGAGGGCCGTGCTAAACAAACGCCTGAAATTATGTTCATAAAAGCAGATGCTCAAACATCAATACCGTGTGGATGAGGTTATATAGAGACAGGCCATGTTTCTTTAAGAGAAACCTCACCAATTAATTCCTTGACAGGTTTAAAGCTGAACTCCAGGCAAAAGGCTGAATATACAGATCAAATACATATGTTAGATCTTTATTTGCCAAATATTGATTATCTCGTCGCAATGGCATCAGAAAGTGAGTGGGATATAATAGGCTGGAAGTGAACATGTTGTCCCTGAAGTGGATGTATTGAAAGCAAAAAAATTAACAATCATAAGGACTTGAGCGACGTTGACAAGGGCCAAATCGTAATGGCTAGATGACTGGGCCAGAGCAACTCCAATACTGCAGCTCTTGTGAGATGTTCCTGGTCTGTAGTAGTCAGGACTAACCCAGAGTGGTCTAAGGAAGGAAAACCGGCAACACAACATGAGTTAATCCAATTGAGCAACTGTGGGATATACTGGAAAAACTGATCCATGGAGGCCCCACCTCACACCTTACAGGACTTAAATGATCTGCTATTGATGGCTTGGTGCCAGATACCACAGCATGCCTTCAGAGGACTAGTGGAGTCCATGTCTCGATGGGTTATAGTGGGTGGTCATACTATTATAATTGATCAGTGTAAAATAAACTTTAATGAAAAAAACATGTCCTATCTTTTCTACTTGAGTCATACAGTTGCAAGAAAAAGTATGTGAACCCCTTGGATTACGTGGAGTTTTGCATGAATTGGGCATAAAATGTGCTCTGAACGTCATCTAAGTCACAACAATAGAAGAACACAGTCTGCTGAGCATAATACTACACAAACATTAGATGTTGCCATGGTTTAATTGCACATAACATGTAAACATTCACAGTGCAGGGAGGAAAAAGTATGTGAACCCCTAGCTTAATGACTTCTCCCAGAGCTATTTAGAGCCAGGAGTGAGCCAACCTTGACTCCAATCAGTGTGATGATATTGGATGTGTTGCTGACAGCTGTCCTGCCCTTAATAAACACACACCTGCTTTGGGTTTACTGGTTTCAAGAAGTACTGTCTGATGTGAGCCATGCCTCGCAGAAAAGAGCTCTCAGAAGACCTACGATCAATAATTGTTGACTTGCATGAAGCTGGAAAGGGTTACAAAAGTATCTCCAAAAGCCTTGATGTTCATGTGTCCACAGTAAGACAGACTGTCTACAAATGGAGAAAGTTTAGCACTGTTGCTACTCTCCCTAGGTGTGGTCGTCCTGTAAAAATGACTGCAAGAGCACAGCGCAGAATGCTGCATGAGGTAAAGAAGAATCCCAGAGTGTCAGCTAAAGACCTACAGAAATCTCTGGCACATGCTAACATTTTGTTGACACATCTACAATAAGGAAAACATTAAACAAGAATGGAGTACATGGGAGGACACCACGGAGGAAGCCATTGCTGTCCAAAAGGAATATTATAGCACGTTTGAAGTTTGCAAAAGAGCACCTGGATGTTCCACAGCACTACTGGCAAAATATACTGTGGACAGATGAAACCAAGATTGAGTTGTTTGGGAAGAACACACAACACTATGTGTGGAGAAAAAAAGGCACAGCACACCAACATCAAAACCTCATCCCCACTGTAAAACATGGCAGAGGGAGCATCATGGTTTGGGGCTGCTTTGCTGCCTCAGGGCCTGGACGGATTGTTGTCATTGATGGGAAAATGAATTCCAGAGTTTATCAAGACATTTTGCAGGAAAACGTACGACCATCTGTCCGCCAACTGAAGCTCCGTAGAGGATGGGTGATGCAACAGGACAATGACCCAAAGCATACAAGTAATTCAACAAAACAGTGGCTGCAACAGCACAGAATACGCCTTCTGGAGTGGCCCAGTCAGAGTCCTGACCTCAACCCGATTGAAATGCTGTGGCATGACCTTAAGAGAGCGATTCACACCAGACATCCCAAGAATATTGCCACACTGAAACAGTTTTGTGAAGAGGAGTGGTCCAAAATTACTCCAGATCGTTGTGCAGGTCTGATCTGCAACTACAGGAAACGTGGTTGAGGTTATTGCTGCCAAAGGAGGGTCAAACTGTTATTAAGTCCAAAGGTTCACATACTTTTTCCTCCCTGCACTGTGAATGTTTACATATTATGTGCAATTAAACCATGGCAACATCTAATGTTTGTGTAGTATTATGTTCAGCAGACTGTGTTCTTCTATGGTTGTGACTTAGATGACGTTCAGAGCACATTTTATGCCCAATTCATGCAAAACTCCACGTAATCCTCAAGGGGTTCACATACTTTTTCTTGCAACTGTATAACTGATTTAAGAGAGCCTGTGTGGATAGACATATGGGAACTGCCATTGTAGACTTGGACCTGTTTCATCTGTGCAAGCTCCTAGGCTATCATCTTTAACACTTGCACCATTATCTAGCCAGTCACTGACTTGAAACAAGCCTGAAACCTTGTGACCGAAGGCAAGAATAGGCTGAAAGCCTTAGGAGCCTGCATATTTAAAAACATGTCAGCAATTTCTGCTTTCATATTTTTGTTCTCACAGGTGTGCCATGCAGATAATGGGCTGCAGGTGCCTACTCTTTTGACATTCAAAATTCAAAGATAGGAAAAAAATGGGTTTGGAAGATCTCTGAGCATATGCTGCTTACCTTTATGATATACTTTCATCCCCTCTTTAACCACTTGTCTACCAGGCACTTTTCGCCCCTTCATGCCCAGGCCAATTTTCAGCTTTCAGCGCTCTCATGTTTTGAATGGCGATTACGTAGTCATGCAACACTGTACCCATATGAAATTTGTATCATTTTTTCACACAAATAGAGCTTTCTTTTGGTGGTATTTAATCATCACTGGGTGTTTTATTTTTTGCACTATAAATAAAAAGAGCAAAAGATTTGAAAAAAAAAATGTATCTTTGTTTCTATTATAAAATTTTGAAAACAGGTAATTTTTCTCCTTCACTGATGTGCGTTGATGAGGCTGCACTGATACGCAGCACTGATAGGCAGCACTAGGCACTGATAGGCAGTACTGATGGGCACTGATGAGGTGGCATGGATAGGTACTGATAGGTTGCACTGATGAGGCAAAACTCGTGGGCATTGATCAGGAGGCATTGATGAAGCTGTATTGATATGCAGCAATGATGGGCACTGATAGGCAGCACTGATGGACAGGCACTGCTGGACACTGATGGGTGGCACTGCTCGGTGACACTGATAGGCACTGATGTGCACTGGTGGGAGGCACTTCTGGGCGGCACTGCTGGGCACTGATCATCAGGGAAGTGATCATCAGTGCCCTGATAAGTGCTGATCCGCTCTGTGACAGTTGCCGGGTATCTGCAGTACTTTCCTCATGCTGTGACAGTGTGAGGAAAGTGCAGTCGAAGGAAGGGGGTGAAAGTGCCCAGTATTGAAGTGGTTAAGAAGGTTATGTTGAAGTTTAGGGTTGGTAAGTAAATACTGTTTTATTGGGTGCAATATACCCATTTTACGGGTAAAAAAAAATTACATAACACATGCAGTAAAAGTTGGCTATGCAAAAAAAAATGTCTGTGTCAGGAGTATGTAGCGCTCCTGCTCCATCACAGCTGCTGGTCTCATTCCAGCATCCTGATTTTGTTTGTGATTCATTCTCCCGTCTGTCCACCTGCAAGGTGATTGATGTAACCAGTTTCCGGGAGGAGACCAAACCTGATTTAGGCCAGCCAGACCTGCAGTCTCATGCTTCTGATATTGCGTTTGTAACATCTGCTCCAAGCTCCCTGTTTGTCTGTCCTGTCTGCTAGTTTGGATTCCCTCATTGATGACCTCGGATCGGATATCGACTACTCTCTAAACTCTGCCTGTCTTTTGACCACAGATTTGACCCTGACAAATCTAAACCTGCCTTGTACCTGGACTGTCATTGTACCACTCTCTGCCGACTACAAGTACCAGTTTGCTCTGCTGAGTGCGCACCTGCCCCAGCGTGGTGACCAGGCACTCTAGCATTGTGTAGAAGTCCTGGGGGCAACTGAGTACTGGTAGGCCTGCTTACATTATGGGGAAGGGGGCTGCTATAGGTGAAGAACACAGATGCCATCTGTAGTGTCTGACCATCTGCGTGACAATCTGCTAAAACATCTAGAATAAAAACAACTATGCCAATTATATGCTGTATACAGCCCACCTACCCACCGATTGATACCATTGTGGCCAGTACAAAAACTAGAAGTCCTAGTTACAGCTGTGTGAATTCCAGCTCTTATCCAGTAGTTACTGATGATATGTATGCGGAAAATTCACAATGCAATAAGGGTTACAGTTTTTTCAAGCTTGAAATCTCTGACCTTCCATGTTTTCACCGTTGTGCTTATGAGAGGTAGTATTCTAAAACTGTAATTGCGATTGTCTCCTGTAGACCATGCCAGACAAGGTAGCACAGAGCTTGTTGATGGCCAGTGACAGCTCTGAATCCTGAAGAGAAAAGTGTTGATTTGCACAGCTCATTTATGGGCAAGATGCATCATTTTAGAATTTGTTTACCTGAGCTTTTTTCTGCTGGCTGTTGCAGTATCCTTTTATCCCGCTGTGCGAAGAGAAGAATTTTCTTTTAACAAACCCATATTTCAGCCTCTTACCTGGGCTAAGGGGGATTTATCAGCAGTATTCGTTAGCTTATTTGCATTCCAATGCAGCTATATCTAGTATAACACAGATCCCTAGTGGGGGTCCCTAAAACAGCTGATGGAATGCAGATATAAATGTCTACTGGTTTGGAATCAAGCATGGATAAATAAATGAAACATGGGTCGTCTCTGGAGTAACTACAAGTCACAGCATGCCCAGGCCAGCTTGTGTCTGGGTTTCCATTTGCATAAAGAGTTTTTCAACCTTGCTTTAATACATGTTTTCATTATTCATATCTCTGTCCTATAAGCGTCATTAAAGCAATACAGAGAGCACTGATAACGCATAAAGCACACACATCCATAGTAGCGGATCAGATTTCAGTTTGCTGAAGTGAGATCTGTGGATATTGAAAAGGGCCATTAACATTTTAAGTGCAGATCTCAGTGGCTACACTAGGTCCAGGCACCCCTGGACAAATGCCAAAGTTTCTCAGTGGATGCCTATGCTCAGCAGCATTATGTAATCAGAAGCCAGGGAGCAGCAGGTTATAATGGGGGAAATAAAATGATCTCTTCTTGTAATGCCCAAAATCCTATTTAATTTTATTTTAGAACCTGCAGGGACAATGACAGCTAAACTCTTCTGCTAGATCAGGGATGCTCAACCCATGGCCCCCAGAGATGTGGCCTGCAACCTCAAATGCAGGGAAGCACATGCCCCGGGTCGGCAACCCATTGATTGCAATCTGGACTTGCCAACCTGTCACCCCAGAGCGTCAGAGTGCATCAAGCCAGCAGTGGACGAAACAGGCAGAAATGAAAGACCTGTCATCCACTTGCTCAGCCATTAACGGAGAGATCCCACGGTGAGTAAGAGGACCCATCTGTTGCACAGAGCAGCTCCAATCCTCCTCTTCTGGGGTGCCTGCTGGCACTCCTGCACTCCCCTTCCCTGCTGAGTGAGGAGCAAGTGTGGGGCAGGGCTGAGCCAAGCTATGTGTGTCTTAGAGACAGGCAGCACAGTAGCTAAATGGTTAGCACTTCCACCTGGCAGTACTAGGGTTGCTGGTTCGAAGCCCAACCAGGGCACCACCTGCCTGGAGTTTGCATGTTCTCCCTGTGCCTGCGTGGGTTTCCTCCCGGTACTCCGGTTTCCTCCCACACACTCCAAAGACATGCTGGTAGGTTAATTGACTCCTGTATAAATTGCCCCTAGTATGTGTATGTATGAATGTGAGTTAGGGACCTTAGATTGTACATCCCTTGAGGGTTAGGGACTGATGTGAATGTACAATATATATATATATGTGAAGCGCTGCGTAAATTGATGGTGCTATATAAGTACCTGAAATAAAAATGAAGTAAATAGAGACACACACAGCTTGGCTCAGCCCCACTTGCTCCTCATTGACTGTGAATAACAGCAGTGGGAGCCAATGGCACATGGCTGGCTGTGTCTCAGCCATTGAGGAGAGAGAGACCCAGAGGAGCCGAGGCTCCCATGCACAGCACTAGATTGGGATCTGGCTTAGGTAAATCCTGGAGGGGCGCTTTAGGGGAGCAGCACACAGGTTTTTACATTAATGCATAAAATGCATTAAGATAGAAAACATTTAGCCTTTACAACCATTTTAAATAAAAATCCTAAAAATTGCTTTGCTCAAGTGTGAATGCAGGTTGAGGACAGAACTAGACAATAGACTGTTGCCAAAGTGATGGGCTGGATGTATTAATTGGAGCTGGAAAGCTTTACTCCTTTTAACATAAGAACTTGAATACAATTTATCGGAACCTTCCCTAACCAAACATTGAAGACATATCTGTAGACCAGTATTAATGGAAGCTGCATCAAGTAATCCAGCAGCAGCTGAAGTGATTGCAGATGACTGTCTATTCCAGTTGTGTATGTTAATTTCAGTGCACAGTCTTGTCAGTGTGGCAGCTAGTTTTGTAAAGTGGTGTTTTAGGGCTCCCTAGAGACCTGGTCATGATTGCTTTAAATTCCTAGTGATGTTACTTGATTGATGCTGTGATATGGCATACATACTGATAGGATTCTCTGTGTGCAGGTACTGCTGTCATAAGCACATACAGAAGTGTCACCTTTACCAGGTCTAGAGGAACAAAGAACCTCTTTAGCCCACAGCCATTATCACCTGAGCGACTTTTTGTCCTTTTAGTTTTATTATATTGCAAACATACCTAATATATACACTATATTGCTAAAAGTATTGACCCCGCCCTCCAAATCATTGGATTTAGGTTTCCAATCCCCTCTGTGGCCACAGGTGTATACAATCAAGCCCCTAGGTATGCAGATTGCTTCTACAAACATTGGTGAAAGAATGGGTCGCTCTCAGGAGCTCAGTGACTCCAAGCGTGGTCCCGTGATAGGTGGCCACTTGTGCAATAAGTCCATCTGTGACATTTCCTGGCTACTAAATATTCCACGCTCAACTGTTAGTGGGATTATAACAAAGTGGAAGCAACTGAGAACAGCAACTCAGCCACCAAGTGGTAGGCCACGTCACATGACAGAGCGGGGTTAGCGCATGCTGAAGCGCACAGTGCGCAGAAGTCACCAACTGTCTGCAGAGTCAATAGCTAAAGACCTCCAAACTTCGTGGCCTTCAGATTAGCACAACAACAGTGCATAGAGAGCTTCATGGAATGGGTTTCCATGGCCGAGCAGCTGCATCCAAGCCTTCCATCACCAAGTGCAATGCAAAGCGTCGGATGACGTGGTGTAAAGCACTCCGCCACTGAACTCTAGAGCAGTGAAGACATGTTCTCTGGAGTGACCAATCACACTTCTCTGTCTGGCAATCTGATGGATGTGTCTGAGTTTTGTGGTTGCTAGGAGAAGGGTTACAGTCAAGACATGTCTTCATTGCTAATTGTCACAGTTGCTTGTGCTCTCAACCAAACTGTTAACATAGCAACTGCAGATCAAGCAGAGGCTAAGATGGCAGTTTTCTTGGCTGTAAAAATGAAATCAGGAAAGATCACTGCTCACCTTTTAAAGAAGTCCTGATTGATGGACGTAGCATGTATAGGGGTGGAGCTTATTATCAATATGATGTCATCACATTTATTGCATTGAAATTAAGACATCCTGTGGTAAGGATACAAAAGAAGGCTCGTTATCAGTGGTACATCCTATTTGATGAAAAAAAAGTAGAACATGCTGCATTTTTGCTGTACAGACCCATGCTGGAACATACCAAACCACATCAAAACGCACAGGAACTGCGTGTGGTGGTGGTGTGATCTGTAAGCAAAAATGTATCTGGAATGGATTTTTGTAGTATGAATTGGCCCTAAATGTCCTAATATGCATGGACACATATGGCAACACTTGAGTTGCTTCTACAGGCAAAACACAAAGCTCCTGTAAAAGCAGCGTTTTTTTAAGTCCAGTGTGCATGGAGCCTTATATGTCACTGGGGGGGGGGGGGGGGGGCCTTGTTCATCACATAGGGGGACTCCTGGGGAGAAGATCACATATGGTTCACCTTGTTTGTGATTTGATCACTTTGGGGTTTTTCACTTGTTGGACTGGCTTTGCTTATTTTATGACATTTTTTTATTATATGTGGAGTACTGCACTGTTTGGGGGTGTGGGATTTATTGTGGACTGCATGATGCACGTTATAAAGAATGAGGGCATTTCTATGCTATATGATTGTATGACTTATTTTTATTTCTGTAA